TTCAGTGAGTCATGTAGTCAACATCATGCCAGCCACCGGCCTTCAGTGAGTCATGTAGTCAACATCATGCCAGCCACCGGCCTTCAGTGAGTCAACATCATGCCAGCAATTGGCCTTCAGTGAGTCATGTAGTCAACATCATGCCAGCCACCGGCCTTCAGCGAGTCATGTAGTCAACATCATGCCAGCCACCGGCCTTCAGTGAGTCATGTAGTCAACATCATGCCAGCCACCGGCCTTCAGCGAGTCGACATCATGCCAGCCAACGGCCTTCAGTGAGTCATGTAGTCAACATCATGCCAGCCACCGGCCTTCAGTGAGTCATGTAGTCAACATCATGCCAGCCACCGGCCTTCAGCGAGTCGACATCATGCCAGCCACCGGCCTTCAGTGAGTCATGTAGTCAACATCATGCCAGCCACCGGCCTTCAGTGAGTCATGTAGTCAACATCATGCCAGCCACCGGCCTTCAGTGAGTCATGTAGTCAACATCATGCCAGCCACCGGCCTTCAGCGAGTCGACATCATGCCAGCCAACGGCCTTCAGTGAGTCATGTAGTCAACATCATGCCAGCCACCGGCCTTCAGTGAGTCATGTAGTCAACATCATGCCAGCCACCGGCCTTCAGCGAGTCGACATCATGCCAGCCACCGGCCTTCAGTGAGTCATGTAGTTAACATCATGCCAGCCACCGGCCTTCAGTGAGTCATGTAGTCAACATCATGCCAGCCATCGGCCTTCAGTGAGTCATGTAGTCAACATCATGCCAGCCAACGGCCTTCAGTGAGTCATGTAGTCAACATCATGCCAGCCACCGGCCTTCAGTGAGTCATGTAGTCAACATCATGCCAGCCACCGGCCTTCAGCGAGTCGACATCATGCCAGCCACCGGCCTTCAGCGAGTCGACATCATGCCAGCCACCGGCCTTCAGTGAGTCAACATCATGCCAGCCACCGGCCTTCAGTGAGTCATGTAGTCAACATCATGCCAGCCACCGGCCTTCAGCGAGTCGACATCATGCCAGCCACCGGCCTTCAGTGAGTCATGTAGTCAACATCATGCCAGCCACCGGCCTTCAGCGAGTCGACATCATGCCAGCCACCGGCCTTAAGTGAGTCATGTAGTCAACATCATGCCAGCCACCGGCCTTCAGCGAGTCATGTAGTCAACATCATGCCAGCCATCGGCCTTCAGTGAGTCATGTAGTCAACATCATGCCAGCCACCGGCCTTCAGTGAGTCATGTAGTCAACATCATGCCAGCCACCGGCCTTCAGTGAGTCATGTAGTCAACATCATGCCAGCCACCGGCCTTCAGTGAGTCATGTAGTCAACATCATGCCAGCCACCGGCCTTCAGCGAGTCGACATCATGCCAGCCACCGGCCTTCAGTGAGTCATGTAGTCAACATCATGCCAGCCACCGGCCTTCAGTGAGTCATGTAGTCAACATCATGCCAGCCATCGGCCTTCAGCGAGTCATGTAGTCAACATCATGCCAGCCACCTTTACTTTCAAGGATAATTGACCTGGTACTCAGTTTAAGATGGGAAGACCTGGGGAGCCAAGGTCAATTCTGAAAGAAAGAAACGGGTAAAAACCCCAGCCATGGTGGGGATTCTAACCCAAGACCCACAGGGTCGGCAGAAGAGTATTTAGCCACTACATTACTGTGGCGACCCTTCATATACAATCAAGTATAAGACATGAGGTGGCCGTCACAATTCCTCTCTACCATTTCTCCACTTCCAATTATCAGGTGTCCACTGTGCAACAGGTTAGGTTGAAACCCAGATGTTTGGTTGGAAACCATTTCACTGGCCATGGGGGCTGATCAAAGTGTGGTCAACCACACCTCCTACTGTAAGTATGCATGCTTAGACTGCGTGTTTAAAAAAAATTGTATATAAGACAAGAAGGTTTATATATCTGAGTGATTAAATCATTTGTCTCAGGCTCTCAAATTGGTGGGTTCATTTCACAGACTGCATCATTCGATTCACAAATGCAATTTTTACAGAATGCCTGGAAATCTTTGCTGGATGTATGGGGTCTCTGCTATGTGTGACGCTCACGGCAAGCCGCTCGCTGTTCTGTGGGGGAAGAAAGTGGGACCATACTGGATAAAACCCAGTACAGTGAAGTCAATTCTCTTGACTTTTAACTGGTTACAAAATATGAATAAAAGAGAAAACTGAAGCCTTGGGCAATACAAGATACATCTCATTAAATTATTACATTATATATATAACTCTGCAATTATGCACTGTAGATTTCAGCAATACATTACACATTACAGATGGATTGCTTCACATATGCTATTTAAAAGCTAGAAATTCTAGTAAAAAAATGAACTTTAAAATTATGCAATATAAATTTCAGCAACATATCGGCAACACACTGATATACTTCAAACCTTTGCAATATTAAAACACAAAAGTTCAGTAAAAATGAACTTTGCAATTATGCTTATATAAACATCAGCAATATGGTACATTACACGATACACGCAGATGGATGACCGTTCTCACAATAAAAATTACACTGAACCGTATGTTAAAACAAATGCATATCTTTGAACATGTGTAAATAACACTGATTTTTTTCTTCTTATTCAGCACTTTGAGCCATTAAGGTTCATTGCTGCATAAATATACCTCCATTCATCTTTCCAGTTGGTGACTCCAAGCAAGCAACTTGTAGGCTGAACTTAACCTACTTATCAACAACAGGAGTTGATCAATTTTCTTAGTTTGCCATTATATTATCTCTCTACATTTTTTTATCTGCCCTATGGTCTCATTCATCTCCCATGTGTATAGAGTTTTCCCACTCTGTTATATGCCATTCTCTGCACATGCCCTAATACTACAGTCTAGTGTAAACCTTCAAGATGCCAATCATCACTGATATGATCTCACATGAACAGATACATTTAGCCAGCAGCTGACCAAGCTCAACGTTGAATTTTTTTGGGGCCAGAATGTGAACACATTGTTCAGAATGTTTTGTCCATGCACGACTGCATGTCACTGTTTAGGGTTACAGTATTCCCTCTTCACACAGAAAAGTGCAATGATGTACCCATTCCTGGGTAGTGGAACCTCTCCATGATCAACAGATAATGGATCCGGATACTGTTATACTTGCCAATTGACAATGGATCCAGATATTATTTAAAAAAAAGTAAAGTTCCCTTTTCACGCCTATCGGCGCATCGGGCATATGGGCAGAGCGTCCCATATTTTTACAGACCATCAGCACTCTGTGGGTAATGTGGTCAGCATTACGCCGGCTGTCTTTACTTTCCCAGGACAGCCCATCCTGGTACCCATTTTAGGCTGGGTCGACCTGCGACGTCCCATACCACGATAAAAATCCACGCAGCATGCAGTGGGTTTCGATCGCGGTATGCTGGCTTACGAGTCGGACTCGCAACGCCTTAGCCACGGACGCCGCTATTCAGATATTATACCACTCCCTAAACAATGGTGAGTGAATCCTCAACTCAGCTGCCCATACTTCTCCGACAAGAATGAAACCAAAATAATCATGTTCAATCTGTAGATCCTAAAATCATCAAAAGTAGGCTTTACAGTAAAGGTTTGAAAACCAGAAAAGTTCATCACAACAGAATATACTGTGTCCATTTTTATTTGCACATTTATTAGGATCCTAGCCAGTTTAACAAGCCCATGCACTGAGCTGTGAAACTCCATGTGAAGGAATAAAGGTCACTGCTTAAAAGACAGACGCTGCAATTATCTTTGAAACTTATACACAAAAAGTGTTTCAATCTTCACACACATGATCCTAGCCCTTGATGCACTTAAACATAAAGCTACAACTGCACAGGTGGACATCAAGAGTAAATGAGGCCACAATTCAGACATAAACTACCATAAATGGGTAAATACTGTATCCTTCAAGTTTTAACCCTTTAAGTTTGTATAACGGATATACCTATCAAGGTCAATTGCTATCTCAGTGGATATGATGGATAAATCTGCCCTAAACTTTCTACAGGTGGTTTCTAGTGTGTATGATGGATACATCCAAACTCAATGTTGTATGGGCAGTTTCTAGTGGATATGATGGATACATCCACCCTTAATCTACTTAAGGTAGTTTCTAGTGAAGGTAGTTCCTAGTGGGTATGATGGATACATCCACCCTTAATCTACTTCAGGTAGTTTCTACTGGGTATGATGGATATATCCACCCATGACTTTCTACGTAAGTATCTAATGGGTATGAGGGATAAATCTGTCCATGACTTTCTACAGGTAGTTTCTAGAAGATGTGGCAAGTTAATTGCTTGCACTGCTGTGCTCTGTAGAAGTTTCTCCACTTGACAGAAGCAGTCTTCAGTGACTCGCAGGTATTTTAACCCTTGATTTGCAGACTCCAAGCAGTTTAGCATAGTCTGGGATATGGCAATAACTACACACTTTAAGGATTCACTTTAACAATGTCGGTAGCTCAATTTGAAAAAAAAAAAAAAAAAAAGCATTCTGTGTAACATTCTCTCTCTGCAGGTTGACAAGTACGCAGAAAATAAAACTGACATATTAAGACATGAGCATTTCTGTAAAAACAAGGCCACCTTGAAACATATATATAAAACAAAAGCAAAAAAACAAATTGCTTTAACTACGAAACAACAGAACAAGCCTATACAATAAAACAAGGCAACTTTATGCATAGAAATATTATGGAAGATAATAGTTATTGCATTTATATATAATATTTTCAACAGAACAGGAACAAACACTGACGGACATGTTTTTCTGATATGAACAAAGTAATATTAATATCATAACATAACAGCAATTGAATCTCGTTCCAAAGGGTTGAGTAGGTAAGCCACCCACAAAAATAATACAAATATACGTTTATATATATATAATAATAATGAATAATATACACAGCATAGCAGATAATTGACATGAAAATAGACACTGTTCTCCGAATGTCCGAGAACTCTGATGGTATATTTATCACAGAGATACTGGCAAGTCTGCCGCAATGTGGAAGATCGACTCATGGCTAGCTGCACTCACGGAGGACCGGGAGTCATCGTTGACGCTCTCCAGGCTTCCATTGTTGGCAAAACTGGAATCACAATTCTGGCCCCCAACCTCAGAACCCGAATTTGAACAAGATCTGCTGGACTTGGAACAGTTGGAAAACTCCAGGGTGCCCTCTGTGGATGGGAAATTGTTGGGGATGAATTTCTGCAGTATCAAAGTGATTCCTGTACTAAAATTATTAATTCATCAAGTATCATAGTGAGTGATCAGTTTCTGGAGTATCAAACAGATATCAGATAGACCGGCCCGGTTCTGCCCCACTTGGTGGTGAATTGATGTACGACAAGACAGATATTGTGAGGGACCTTTGGGAACGAGTGAACAGTGTGGATGCGCAGATAGATTATTACAGTCTGATGAAAATGGCACTGGGAGGAGTTACCAGAGGATGTGGCCAACGCTCAACACTCAGGGGAAGGGCAAGACGGATATACAATCAGATGGCTACTGGTGCCATTAGAATTCAAACTCTTCACTTGCCGCTGAAGATGGAGACAGAGCACTTATGGGAGTGTCCTGAGTGCTGTGATGTTGATTCTTAATTCAACATTCAACATTTTGGAGTATCAAAGTGATTTATGCACAGACTAACAGTCTTCTTCTTCAGCATTCCGAGCCCTTGAGGTTCATTGCTGCAGTCATCACCTGCCTCCACTCATCTTTCTGGCTGGCCTTCTCTTTCCAGTTGGTAACACCAAGTGTTTGTAGGTCTGTCTGGATATTATCTCCCCATCATCTTTTTGGTTTGCTGAGTGGACTACGACTGACCAGCTCCCTTCTGTATATGTTTGTAGCTCTTTGTAATCTGACATTCTCTAAATATGCCCCAGCCAATTCAGTCTATTAGCTCTCATGATGCCAGTGTCTCACACTGAGTGATGAATTTCTGGAGTATCAAAGAGATAAGTTCATGAATCAAAGTGATTAATGTATCTTCTTTTTTTTTATTTTTGCATTCACCAGCTGTAAACTCTAGCAGAAAGTTCTGGTCAATTGTCCACTTCTGCACTCTAGTTCTATTCCAGATCTCTATTACTGCATGCACATCCATTTTACAGATCTGACTCATTTGTATGCAGACTGTTGGTGCCTTACCTCTCAGGGAAAATGCAATCTGACTTTGAAGGAAGCTCCCAATTAGTCCATTCGTATGACATACTTCTGGGTAGGCAGTGGGCCTATTCTTGTTTTCTCTACAATGCCGCCCTGAATCTCAAATGGAGAATTCAGGCATCAAAATCATAGTCATGGTTTAACAACTTACAAATAGACGCAGACAGTCATTTTTCTGGGAACATATTATGAGAAAGAATGGACTTGATCACAACTGGTAATACTGATTCAAAGAGAACAAGGGCTTGGCCAAATGGATGGGGGCCAGTCAAAAACACTGAACTGATCAGTTATTCTGGTGAATGTGTGAAGTGGCTAAACATGACAGCCTATGTTTCCCAGCATGGCGCATGATGATCAAAATGATATCATCATACAATCTCTGGAGTTACAAAGTTATAAATTTCTGGAGTATCAAAGTAAGTGATAAATTCACAAAATATCTCAGTAAGTGATACATTTACATAGCATGAATGCAAGTGAAGAACTCCTGAGTACCAAAGTAGGTGATATTTTCCTGTAGTATAAAAGTGGTAACAGCTATGTAGTATCACATTAAGTGGTGAATTTCTGTATTAAGGTTTTTTTTTCTCTTGTAGTATCAAAGTGAGTGTTAAGTTCACTTAGTATCCAAGTGCTGAATTCATGCAGAATCAATGTGATAAATTATAGGAGTACCAAAGTAAGTGAAAAATACACAAAGTATCACAGTAAGTGAAGAATTTCAGGAGTATTAAAGTGGCAAATTCACATATCAAAGTGACTGATTTATGGAGTTTCATTTTAAGTGGTTAAATCAAAAAGTATCACAAGTGATAAAGCATCAATTTAAGTGAGGTTGGGGGAAAGCTAAACATGTTCCAATGACCCAAGAGATGAGAAAAAGTTAGGACACCCAATGACTAGAATATTCTTGCACCGGAACCCACAGAGAAAAAAAGAAGAGGAAAACACAAACGGTAGAGGAAGAAGTGTTAGTGAACAATCTTATATGAGAGAACATCTGATGTTCTGTAAAACTGGTCTAGACTTGAACCCAGAACCTTTAACCTTAAAGGTGGATGATGCAACTATGTCTCATGTTTACAATCAGTTGACGATAGGTTCTGAAGAGACTCGACATGAAAAAAAGTTTCAAAAAAGATTTCAAGAGGAAAAAAAAGACAAGTGACTTTTGTTGTTGTTGACATGATGTATTAACACATTAAAACTCACAAAAACCATAATGCAGGCAAAAGTGAAGGCAAATGAGAAGATGCAGACCGACAACGATACTCACAGGAGGATAAATCAATAGAAGGATAACAGTCTCTGAGGATAAAATCAACAGAAGGATAACAGCAGTCTCAGAGGATAAAATCAATAGAAGGATAACAGCAGTCTCAGGATAAAATCAATAGAAGGATAACAGCAGTCTCAGAGGATAAAATCAATAGAAGAATAACAGCAGTCTCAGAAAGACAGAACATGTCAGAGATCCAATTCGGTCAACCTTCATGGTCAAAGTGGTACCTGACTGAATGATAAAGATGCACACAAGGGCACAAACAAAGCTACTACTTACCATTACTACTGAGGTCTGTATTTGTTGCCTGATCCCTGACGGCATGCTCTCTACAAGCCTGGTCTCCATTGTGTTGCCGCTTCCGCCTGCGTTTGTGCTTCCCGCTCCCATGCGAGCTGGGGTTAGCCGGCCCCCGACATCCGGGGACTGTCCCGAAGTTGGACACCAGGACATGGGCGACTGGGGATGTGGGCATAGCGGGCACAAAATGTGTGCTGTACTGCTGGCAGATGCCTGTCTTGCCAGAAAAGTCTATTGATGCTGATGAATACAGCGGCGAAAGTCTCTCCAAGGAAGAATAGTGGGAGACTCCCACACGAGCCTGCGGCTGAGACTGGTCATATGGGCCTGACCAGGCGTAATCAAAGTTTCTCATGGGGCCCATGCTGCTGCCATGATGATCAATGTTGGGTTTAAACACAGGATGCGGGGCCGTTGGGGACTGGAGCTCCCTGTTGCCAGGCTCTGAATACTCGTGGTTCATTGACAGTGCCAGAGAGCCAGCCTCTGAGTAACACGTGGTGGGGGTGTGAGGAGTGTTGCAGTGCTGCATGGAGTAGAGTGATTTCTGCTGTACCATGTAGGGAATATCTGAAACAGTGTTGGGTGTGAGGTTATAAACATGCTTGTCAACAAATCAATAGGTCGCTGTATCTCCTCATGTGCTTATTACCCCAGGTTGTAATATGCACCTGGCGAGATACAGCGTAATGTACCAGGCAATAAATTGTGCAAAACCTAACGTTTATGATTTATTTGTTAAAATTCACATGGGGGAAACACTGCTTTGAAATACACAGGTGGTTTATGTGAGTTTATAATCATTCAGTCTCTAAAGAACTATTGTTTGCCAGTTTTGAATCACCAGTTTCTATACAACAGATGTATGGATCAGTGTCTCAATCTTGTAATCCTATGCTACAGATGTAGGAATTAGTTTTAACCATTCAATCTTACAGAACAATTGTATGGGAGTTTTAAATCATTCAATCCTACATTAAGGACGTATGGATTAGTGTCTACATTTGTCCAGTTCTACAGTACAAATGTTCGGATTGGTGTTTGAATCATCAAATCTCAGGGCACAGATGTATGGATTAGTGTTTGAATCATTAAATCTCAGGGCACAGATGTATGGATTAGTGTTTGAATCTTTCAATCATATAGCAAAGATATATGAATTTGTGTATGAATAATTCAATCCTACACAGATGTCTGTGTGAGTTTTTAATTATTCAATCCTACTGTGCTGATGTATGGATTAGTAAATCTTTCAATACTAAAGAACGGCCATTTAACCAAGTTTAATCAGGGGCACAAATATTGAAATTGGGGATTGTCACGGGCCAGTGACCCAAGCCCCAGCACAGAAAGATCATTAACACAATATAAACTGGCAGGAATCCACGGGCCACTCGCTAGGCCACATTGGGCCCTCAGTTGAATATCCTTGCTATAGAAGAGATACACAGAGGCAACAGCCAGAAGTAGAGCCAAGGAAAGCATTGAAACCAGGCAGCAATGTCCTACCTCCATTACAGCCATGATGATTGATGCTACCCGTATGTTGGAACTTTTTCTCTGTGCTCCCGTTCTCACCCACAAACCTGGGATTAAGCCCATTTACACCATTGCCCTGTAGGAAAGAATACATATAGACATATTTAATGACTATATATATATATATATATATATATACACACACACCATATTTTTTTGAGTATAAGACCATATGTTTTCCTCATTAAAAAATTATATTGGGAGTCCTATTAATAAAGGAATGTGTTTTTTCTATTATGGGCTTAAATTAAAAGAAGAGAGTCGTCTTATACACAGAAAAATACGTTAATCTACTCAGCACATGTTTGCTGAGACCACCTTCTGTGAAGCCTGGACTAACTAATTTCCATCTTCTATCACTTAAATTGTCTTCTTTGTCCATCTTCTAATTCTGAAGAAAATGTCTTCTCTGCCCCTATTGACCACTTTTAGGATGTTTTGACAGCAGGACTGTAAGCCTGAGGATCTAAGGCAGCCTGCCTGGTACAGTCTGTCGCCAAAAACTGCGCAGGTTAAGATTATTGTTTTGCCTTCGACAGAATATAAATTTCCACCTCTTAATAATGATACAACCCAGGTCTCCTGCATAACAGCCTAGCGCTCTAACCACTTAGCCAGCCCTTGTCTTATTCCACAAAGATTAGGTTATGTAAGTGGCAGAAACTAATCTATGCCTGCTGGATGAAACTAAATCCAATCTCATGGAACTTCTACTTGACATTTGGTTTCCTATGTTCGGGTCAGACCATCAGGTGGGTTGCCTCTATGAACCTGCATGTCAGCTGCAGGTCCTCCATGGTTCCCCGTAGCTTGCTCCGCACTCTGTGCTTAAGGCCAGGTTTCTCTTCGTAGCTGTTAAGTATACTACGCAGACTTGCTGATTATGTTCAGCTGTTTGTGTCTGTTGAGTCTGCTGATGGGATATTATGTATGATTACTGTTGCTTTGTTCTCTCTCCACAATTTTCTGTAATTCCTTTTGATATGTGGTTTGATTTCTGATAATGACAATGAGTGGGTGTGTTGTTTCTCCTTGGTTCCATTCTTAGCAAGTCTATCTGCCAAATCACTTCCTGGTAAGTTACAGTGGGCCGTGATCCACCGGAGAGGGATCTGACGGTTATCTTAGAGTCTATTTAGCTGCAACTGAAAAACATTACCACTTTAAATGAAAATAATTACTGATACACAAACAAACACCCAAGAGGACAACTTACATAGAAAAGTTTGGTCCTGCCATCCCCAGGGAAAGCTGTCTGCATGTCGTACTCTGACAGAGGGTTGACGTCAATGTTCATATGCTTGTGCCCCTCCAGTGGCGGCCCGTGCCCGTTGGCTATGGGGGCAGTACCATTGGCTGGGTAGAGAGTGCCGTTGGGTTTGATGAGAGCACTGTCTGCAAAGATACACTGGGACTGGTCCTGGAACTTTTGCTGGCAGCCTCCAGCCAGACCTGGAAATGAGAAACCATTGCCCCAGTTTCAGAAACACCATAAGAGGATTCACAGTGAGAAACCATTGCCCCAGTTTCAGAAACACCATAAGAGGATTCACAGCGAGAAACCATTACCCCAGTTTCAGAAACACCATAAGAGGATTCACAGTGAGAAACCATTGCCCCAGTTTCAGAAACACCATAAGAGGATTCACAGTGAGAAACCATTGCCCCAGTTTCAGAAACACCACAGGAGGATTCACAGTGATCAAGCTGGGTACATTATGATGGTTTTCCATTATTCCTGACTCACACAGAATGGTAGGTTTCATCAGATTGGTATAACTATTTCCGGTGCCCTAATTATGACTCCTCTGAAGGCTCAAGTAGCTCCTAGGATTTGCCCTGTTGGTCTGCCATCCAGACTGAGATTCTGTAATCTCAGATGGTCAAAGCTGCAGTCAGCAGCCTGAAGAGGGAAAAGGAAGGAGGGGGAGCAAGGAAAATACAGTAAATATCTCTTTTTATGTCTGCTCTTTAAAGATTGGTATTTTGTTACAGCTAGGTTGTGAGAGGTAGTGGGTATATAATTCGCCCCCCCCCCCCCCTCCAACCCAACAATGTAGGCCCAGAACCCACACATGGATCAACTGTCTTCTGTTTTCCATGCAGTGATACCGCTGTCTAGCCAAGACTGTCTGGACTGGAAGCATCAATTAAAGAGAGCATGTCCTATCCAGTGACACACCTCTCTAGCTCCCAGGTCACTGTCTGGGTCATCCTCCACTTCTGTCTGCTTTATTTTCTCCAGAAGGTTCTATCTCAGGTATTTTAAAACAGACAATGGGCTCTATTTTAATCATCTTGTCAACACACTCTCAGCCTACTCGCTTCCATTTGCAACTGCCACAAAATTTGTTATGGCACCTTTTATACATAAGATCTTTAGTTAATTTTTGCCTTTATACAAAAGGACTATCTGATCGCACTACAAAACAATCAGCCTTACTACCCAAGAGATCAGAGAATATAAGTTATCAGAAATCAAACATTTTTGTAAAAATGTCCTAACCCTATACTAGAACTGATCTGCTAACTTCAGACACTGAAGCAAACAATCACCGCAGCCCACCAATCTCCCCCATCTACTAGTCACAAAAAACAAGCAAACCTGACTCACTTCTTCTCTTCTGCTGCCTTTGCTTCCACCAGCACATTGTGATGAGGATGAACAATGCCAGTAGCAGAGCACCCAGTACCACTCCCAAGATGACTGGGTTCTCCAAGGTGTCACTGCTGCGACGGCCAGACACTGGGCTCTCGGTGCTGACCTCCAACTCCTTTAGTGGGATCTCCAGCTCTGGATAGTCTTCTACTATGGAGGAATCTGCAAAATGCAATCCAGAAATCAACTTTGAGCAAAACCTTAACAGAATGGAGGAATCTGCAATGACACAGACAAATCCACTGAGGTGAAAAACAATTGACATCTTCGTTAACATTAAAAAAAGAAAAAAATAATCATGTATCCTTTACAGCAGGGCTATTCAATTGGTGGCCCGCAGGCGAGAATTGGTCTGAAGAAGCCTAGCAAGTGGCCCATGGATCAATGCCAGTTGTATGCTTTTAACGATCTTCCTATGCCTGGGTTCAGTCCTCTGGCCTGTGACAACACCCATTTTCAAAACTGTGGCTCCTGAGTAAATTTAGTTGAATAGCCCTGCTTCACAGGATGCCACAAAAGCAACCATGCCATTTGTTGGCTGCTGCAATTTTATGTTTCGTAGATTGCCTTTCAATGGTGAACACCGGATATCAAGGATATCTTAGCCATGAGAGTTTACTAGACAGGACTTTTGGCAAGGGATCCAGTGGCTGTGTGCCATGCCATGATGAGGGAGATATTTGTATGCCATGATGAGGGAGATATTTTGTGTGCCATGATGAGGGAGATATTTTGTGTGCCACGATGAGGGAGATATTTTGTATGCCATGATGAGGGAGATATTTTGTGTGCCATGATGAGGGAGATATTTGTATGCCATGATGAGGGAGATATTTTGTATGCCATGATGAGGGAGATATTTTGTGTGCCATGATGAGGGAGACATTTTGTATGCCATGATGAGGGAGACATTTTGTATGCCATGATGAGGGAGACATTTTGCAAAGGACCAGATGTATGATAAGGATGAGATCGCCACTGCTAACCGAACAGATGCTAGAATTAGGAATCTGCATTCATGACCCCTAAATCACAGATACCAACACTTTACAAGAGAAAAATTAATACCTAGGATTAAAAACCAGCCACACAATTCTTTAAAGAGAGACAGATGAGATGGTTTGGCTATGTGATGAGAATGCCCTCATTAAAACAACCACTCTGCGTTGGCTGCTGAAGATGAGAACAGGGCACACATGGAAAGGCCCAGAGTGCTGTGATGTAAATTCTTGACTCAACTCAAAAACAACCACACTGAAGAAATATAATGAACTCAGAGAAAAGGAGAAAAGTAAAAGACTATAGAAAAGATGGAACAATGACATCAAAAACATCAGAAAAAGAAATCAAAATCAACTAAAACATAACGTTAGAAAAAAAAAATACATATAAGATCTTTACATTCACACCTCCAACCCCTTCCATCCAGATGAGGTAACTGGAAGAGTAGGAAGAAGAAGAAGAATACAAAGATGAAGAAGAAACATGATATTATAACATTCAACATTTAAAAAATTTTAACAATCCCCGACCTTTCAACTTAGTGGTCTTCACAACTTGGTTGCTAAACTGGCTGCGCCCGACCGTGTTGAAGCTCTGCATTCGGATATTATAGGGAGTGTTGGGCAGAAGGTCCCGAATGACGTCGTTGCGGATACCTGCTCCTGGGATCACCTTCTCCTTGTCCTCACTGCCCCCGAAGGGTTTGTAAAAGATAATGAATCCCTCAATTGGAGAGGCGGACTCAGCCTTGTACTGGAAGACAGAACAAACATTAGTCTGACAGGTGCTGGCGGCAAAAGGAAGGCAGAACAAACATTAGTCTGACAGGTGCTGGCGGCAAAAGGAAAAACATTTCACAAAGAGAACATAAAACCACACACTAATAGATGAACAAACTTTATTTTCAAAGGATCAAACATTAGGCACACAGGCCCGTCTTACATTCAGCCCTTCCAAACACTCATCTTTCATATCATACAGCAGATGTATTTTATCAATAAGCATGTTGTATTTATATGATAATATGCATATTATGAATATCATAAGCTATACAGAGTACAGCATTTTCTCCATCTAATATGCAGGTTAAAAGTTTATGATTAGGGAGTCCAAGTGTTTTCCTGATTATGTTTTATACTTCTGATACTTCTATCCATCTGTTTCTAGTGTTTCTTCTGAATCTACGGCCAGAGGGGTTTTCCAGTTTAAAGCAAAAATTTATAGTTAACTAGATTTCAGTCTCACAAAATGTGTAGTACACATGAGATGGTACTCTTAAATAATCTCTATTTATTTCCTCTAGTGAAACAGTTTCTCTTTAGAATTCCATTTTGCATATGATCAATCTGAGACTGAGTGAAAGGATTATACCATCAGACAAACAGTGGGAACAACATCTAGAACAAGACCAAAGTGCAGACTTTCCAAGAAGTTTACAGCTAGAAATGTGAAAAACAAAATGAGAAGCAGACAATATAATGATATGGTTATCTTGGCAGAATGCAGCCACAATAGCTATTAATGCAGGTGATACACCTAAAAAGATCTGATGCGACAGCAGAATGGTGGCCACAGAGTATGTGGACTGAAGACATTAAAGACTTTATAAATCCACAGGGACTGACAATGGCCAGTGACAGCCATGAAGTATCGGACTACAAATCCCTCTCACTAGTCTTAACAGCTAAATTAGAAGATGATAATGACGACGTTGAATAAATAACCTCTCCTGCAATGTTCCTGACATTTTTGTTTCATGTGTTTGTTGTTACTGATGCCACTAAAAGAATGCAGGCATTTGATTTCTCTAAACCGACATACTTATAAAATTATTTCTCCGACTTTCTCATAGCTTACCTGCCACTTGACACCTATCCCATAATTCTGCTGGAAGACTACTGGTTTAGCCTCGACGATGGTAGGGGCGGTGTCGGGGGCCCTGGCTTGTGCATGTGGCTGTACTGACAGTTTGAAGATCGGGGTGTTTGCCGAGTTTTTGTTGTCATCATCTTCATATACGGCCAGAATGCGGAACTTGTAGGAACCACCTGGAGGAGATGAAACCTAAGTTAATTTGTTGGTAGAATGAAAGACCCTTTTCCCACTTGTTGGTGCATCTGGCCTATAGTGTACTAGACATATTTTTATGGACCTACTGCACTCAATGGATGATGTACACTGATAGTCTTTACCTCCAAAGACATTATCTGGTTTTACTTGCGGGGACTGGCATGGCAGCTAAAGTCAAGTACAAGAAAAAGTTTTAACCTGATGTGGATTTGAACTCATGACTTTCGGGCTTACAGGTGAGCATCTAACTGATATGCTTACTACAGCTGCAGAGTTTGTGCTTTGTGCAATACTCTCGGTAGATGGCTGGCCATTCTGTTCTGAAAGACTGAGCCATAGAGGACAAGTGCCATGAAGTAGATCTTCCTGACTTTAATATAACTGAACTGCCTCAAAGTAGAAACTTTTGTGGTGGTTTAAGTTCAAATTCTCAACTCACCTGACTTGAGATCGGATACTTCGAACCGCCTGATGTTGTACGCCAGGTGAGCATCGCTGGTTCGCCAAGGGCCTTTCTCTGGGTTCATCTCCTTGTACTGAACCTTGAAGAACTTGATAATCTGACCATTGCCCTTGTCCGGCACTGTCCAGTTGAGCATGACGGAACGGTCAGACAGCTGGGCTACTGTGGGGACTGTTGGAGCATATTTGGCTGCAAGCAGAAGGGACAGTGATTTTATAGATGAATGAAAGGATTTTGACGGCAGAAAAAGAAAATTCAAAAAGAAATAAACACTAAATAAGATAAGTTACGTAATTAAGCAGATCTGGGCAAATTGAAAAGACACTGCTTCTAGTTAAATATTAGTCTCTTAAGGGCTGAGTGGTCTCGAAGCATTGCATCTGCCTCGAGTGCTGGTGGTCCCGGGTTCAGGCCGCAGTGAACGCTGGGATTTGTTCACGTGGACATCTAATTTCTGCTGGTCTCTGGGTAGTAAGACCGGACTCCCGTGTATATTGTTTCGCACATAGAAAATCCCAAGGCAGTTGGAAATGGAAAAGAGTAACCTAACGTCGCTTCCCAGGCAAAAATCTGGAGTTTAAAGTCTACCCAAAGTAGTTCAGGACCCTCGCTGGTGCTAAGGAATTGATGCACTGCACTGAGATGCTTCAGACTCAGGTTTGACATAGAAGTAGAAAAGAGCACTTATAGGTTATACCCTTGTGCCATGAGGATCCGTTGTTCAAACATATTAGTCTAAGAGAGAGTGGTTATTCTTATTCTGTGCTGATCCTCACAAGGGCGGCTAGTATGTTGTGTTGTTTACAGCTAGGCTGTGCTATCTGTGTCTTTCGGTCAAACATATTCGATCTGAACAAACCTTTAGTTAGTCCTTTTTATGACCAAATGCTTGTTAAATGCAGTCCATTTATTAACGTTTTTTCCCCAAAATGGGGCCTCAGAAGCAACACAGGGAGGGGAAGAAGTAAAGCAGAGGACACTTCTCACATCTTGAGATGTTCAGGCACATGGTGCTGTGATGACAGACAGTATGGTGCTGTGATGACAGACAGTATGGTGCTGTGATGACAGACAGTATGGTGCTGTGATGACAGACAGTATGGTGCTGTGATGACAGACAGTTTGGTACTATGATGACAATATGATGCTGTGATGAGCGTATGGGGCTGTGATGACAGACAGTATGGTGCTATGACAATATGGTGCTGTGATGAGCGTATGGTGCTGTGATGACAGACAGTATGGTGATATGACAATATGGTGCTGTGATGAGCGTATGGTGCTGTGATGACAGACAGTATGGTGATATGACAATATGGTGCTGTGATGAGCGTATGGTGCTGTGATGACAGACAGTATGGTGCTGTGATGACAGACAGTATGGTGCTGTGATGACAGACAGTATGGTGCTGTGATGACAGACAGTATGGTGCTGTGATGACAGACAGTATGGTACTATGATGACAATATGATGCTGTAATGAGCGTATGGGGCTGTGATGACAGACAGTATGGTGATATAATGACAATATGGTACTGTGATGAGCGTATGGGGCTGTGATGACAGACAGTATGGTACTATGATGACAATATGTTGCTGTGATGAGCGTAAGGTGCTGTAATGAGCGTATGGTGCTGTGATGACAGACAGTATGGTACTATGATGACAATATGGTGCTGTGATGAGCGTATGGTGCTGTAATGAGCGTATGGGGCTGTGATGACAGACAGTATGGTACTATGATGACAATATGTTGCTGTGATGAGCGTAAGGTGCTGTAATGAGCGTATGGGGCTGTGATGACAGACAGTATGGTACTATGATGACAATATGGTGCTGTGATGAGCGTATGGTGCTGTAATGAGCGTATGGGGCTGTGATGACAGACAGTATGGTGATATAATGACAATATGGTGCTGTGATGAGCGTATGGTGCTGTGATGACAGACAGTATGGTGCTATAATGACAATATAGTGCTGGGATGACAGACAGTATGGTGCTATAATGACAATATGGTGCTGTGATGACAGACAGTATGGTGCTATAATGACAATATGGTGCTGGGATGACAGACAGTATGGTGCTATAATGACAATATGGTGCTGGGATGACAGACAGTATGGTGCTATAATGACAATATGGTGCTGTGATGACAGACAGTATGGTGATATAATGACAATATGGTGCTGTGATGAGCGTATGGTGCTGTGATGACAGACAGTATGGTGCTATAATGACAATATGGTGCTGGGATGACAGACAGTATGGTGCTATAATGACAATATGGTGCTGTGATGACAGACAGTATGGTGCAATAAAGACATTATGGTGCTGTGATGACCGTGCTTTGCATGGTGGCCCATGGTCACAGCAAGCGGAGCAGAAAACTTGTGCAAGAGATGAAACAGGCAGGAAACTCGGTGCTGGAAAGATAAACGAGAAAAAGTCTTGATGTTAGCTCTTGGTCAAGGAAGACGGTTGTGATGTAGTGTTCTAAATGTTGTGTGAATGATTGTTGCAGGATTTTTGCGGAAGTGAGCGACAATGGCTATGACTGACAAAACTTTGATTGAATAGAGAATTGATTGAAAGAATCGGGAGGAATAAACTGGCAGAATTTACAGGGAACGTGAGTGCCGTTCTGTGTTGTTAATTGTAGAAAGTTGTGTTTGTTCCCAAGTTGGTAGTGGGCATGCACGTGTACAACAAGGTCACATGAAGCAACAATGCTAGCTAGAATGTGGAAATCCTAAACTGGAAGCCAGGACACAATCTAGCAATACTGAAAGCAGCCAACATTACTGCAACATCACATTTTTAAACAGACCAACTGGTTCTCAGCGGATGATGTGACCAACATCACAGCCAGATGAGATCAAGAGTGGAGTGACTGTGACCATGAAGAAGATAGGTTACTTGTGAGTGGAAACATCAGATGACCACTAGAAGAAGCCTATACTGATGGACTGATTTTCCCCTGTGGGTTTCGGCACCTCATTGCAGGGGGAGAGAAAGAACAGACCCAGTGCCCTCTAACAAGCATATCATTAGAGTTGACTAATTAGGGATGTTTCCTTCAAATCAGAGTGCATTTGCCTGATAGGCAAGGAACCAACAATCTGCATACAAATAAGCCAGATCTGTGAAACACAAGTGTATGTAAAACTTAGCTTCTAGAACAAGGCTCAAGTCCATAAATGGAAGAACAACCAGAACTTTCTCCCAGAGTTTACAGCCAGTGAATCTAAGAAGTCTGACTGACCTGTGGATTGGCACCTTTCCCTCTTTAAAGACAAGACTGATCTTCTTCAGCCTTCTAATCCCCAACTTCACGTCTTGGAGTGGGATATCATTTAGACAGGTCTATTCAACTAAGTTGGCTCAGTGGCCAAAATGTTCAGAAATGGGGATCGTCACCAGCCAGAAGAACCAACCCCAGCATAGAAAGACCATAAATGAAACACAGCTAGCAGTGATCCGCGGGCCACTTTCTGGGCCTTGGCGGGCCAGATTTGGCCCGCTGGCCGGCAGTTGAATAGCCCTGCATTAAGAGAATCATTGTCTTCCCCTTACGGATTTTGAGAACTAGCTGTTGTGATCTCGCATCAAGTACATTTAATTTATCTTGCATCTGATTCTGTGAAGTTGGACAGAAGAGAAACATCATCAGCAAAATCTAGATCATCAAGCTTTTTCGTAGGGGTCCACTGAATTCCATTCTTGGTGTTAGGAGATGCTGTCTTCATAATCCAGTCTACTGACACTAAAAATAGTAGAGGTGACAAAAGACATCCCTGTCGCACACCTGTTTTTATTTCAAATTTAATTTATCTGTTAGCTTTCGCTCATGGAAGAACTCGACATTTCATGACTTTATGTTGGATGAGACTGTTACACTGTGCTACAGGCAGACCTGGCAATGACCAGTGTGACCAGCTGGGGTCAAGAAGACTTCTAAAAAGGTCCCTCTATGAATACACCACACCATAAAGACTTGCCAGGCACTGGACATTTACTGCAGCCAGCCTTCAGTGTTGATAAGCACTTTATGAGGATGTTCAAAAGAAAGCAATAAACCTAATGTAAATACAGACATCAAGGGCCATAACTTAACATCAACTCCACCTCACCCACATACAAAAAAAAAAAAAAACTTAAAATATTATTCTTACGTTTCTCCTTGCCAGCGTGTCCCCCAGTACCATTTTTCTTTTTCTTCTTTTTATCTCTCAAGTTGGCAGTTTTCCGTCTTCCAGTCTTCTTTTTGTCTCTGCGTCCGTGTTGTTGTCGCTGGTCATCAAGTTTACCAACACCAGAGGATACAACAACATCTTCATCATCTCCTAGTGGCAAGTTCTTGGCTGCAAGTTACAAAATTATAGCTTTCAGTTACAACAAATAATCATCTACCTCATCTCACAAGCAAAACAATCAAATGAGTCCATGAACTGTGGCTACAAAAACTTAATAGAATGTGGAAAGTGGAACAATGTACACACACAAGAAAAATCTGAAGTTTTGGCCTGAATCTTTCTCTACCAAACATCACAACAATAAGGTGGACAGTATCCTAGCCACAAGGGAAAAAAAATACCTCAGTAATACAATGATATAAGTCCCTGTGTGGGTTCTGGACCCAAGTTGGGGGGGGGGGGGGGGCACAGACCCACTGTCCACTAATAAGCAAGCCCTAAAAGACAATTAATAGTTTGCTAAAAACAGATGAGTTTGGCCATAATGCAAAGATATCGCAGCCTTGCTGTAAACAACATGGCACACCAACCGCCCTTTTCAGGGTAAATACTGAAGAAGAAGAAGAAGAAGAAGAAGAAATGATGTGACAGATTGCTAATGCAAACTACCTGGAGAAAACTAAACATCTGAGTAAAGATTCAACATTACAGCATTCAGGACAAGCCCACACTAGCTCCATCTCTCTTCTCAACAGCCAGCGAAAAGTCTCAATGGTACCCGTTGTCATCTGTCTGACTACTCATCATGCCCCCTCCCCCTCCCATCCCCCAAGTCTCAATGGTACCCGTTGTCATCTGTCTGACTACTCATCATGCCCCCTTCCCTTCCCATCCCCCAAGTCTCAAAAGGCACCCACAGACTCCCTGCTGCATCATTCTCTCCAGATATGGTTTTTCAATATCATCCATTTTACTTGCTACCTCATCCTACAGGCAATAGGTCACCTCTGCCTTGTGCAGTTGCAGTATACTCCCAAGTGGGTGCCAGTCCAGCCAACCTATTTGCCTGCTCATTCTCTCACATGCCTACATGGCCCAGGCAGAAAATAAAACAAATTCCAGCAAATCAGCAGATGAGGAAAAGATGCTGACATTGGACAGGACATGCACTGAGAAAACCTGAATAAAGTATATAACAAGACTGTCTTGTACTAGGAGCTACATGGGGAAAGAGGTGAGTTGTGTTATTAAATTGTGTAATCAAACCATGTCAGAGTTAATACAGTTGTGCAACTGACATTATGTAATTATACTGTGCCATCAAGCCATGTTAGAGGTAGTAAAGTACAATTAAATTATGTAATCAAGCAATGCATGAGGTAACAAGTGTAACTAAATTATTTAATCAAGCAATGCACGAGGTAAAAAAATTTCAATAAAACCCACGTAAGAGGTAATGAAGTGTTATTCAATTTTGTAATCAAACTATATATAAGTAAATAAAGTGTCATCAAATCATGAAACTAGGTTGTGTAATTAAATCTTGTGCTCAAGTAATGTTAGAGGGAATGGATTAACTCAATTAAGTAGTGTATTCAAGTCATGTAAGAGGGAACGAATTTGTGAAAATTAAGTAGTGTATTTAAGTCCTGTAAAAGAGAATGAATTTGTGCAATTAAGTAGTGTATTCAAGTCATGTAAGAGGGAATGAATTAGTGCAATTAAGTAGTGTATTCAAGTCATGTAAGAGGGAACGAATTTGTGAAAATTAAGTAGTGTATTTAAGTCCTGTAAAAGAGAATGAATTTGTGCAATTAAGTAGTGTATTTAAGTCTTGTAAGAGGGAATGAATTAGTGCAATTAAGTAGTGTATTCAAGTCATGTAAGAGGGAAAGAATTTGTGAAATTTAAGTAGTGTATTCAAGTCATGTAAGAGGGAAAGAATTTGTGCAATTAAGTAGTGTATTCAAATCATGTAAGAGGGAATGAATTAGTGCAATTAAGTAGTGTATTCAAGTCATGTAAGAGGGAATGAATTAGTGCAATTAAGTTGTGTATTCAAGTCATGTAAGAGGGAAAGAATTTGTGAAATTTAAGTAGTGTATTTAAGTCCTGTAAAAGAGAATGAATTTGTGCAATTAAGTAGTGTATTCAAGTCATGTAAGAGGGAAAGAATTTGTGAAATTTAAGTAGTGTATTCAAGTCATGCAAGAGGGAATGAATTTGTGCAATTAAGTAGTGTATTCAAGTCATGTAAGAGGGAATGAATTAGTGAAATTAAGTAGTGTATTCAAGTCATGTAAGAGAAAACGAATTTGTGAAAATTAAATAGTGTATTCAAGTCATGAAAGAGGGAACAAATTTGTGCAATTAAGTAGTGTATTCAAGTCATGTAAGAGGGAATGAATTTGTGAAAATTAAGTAGTGTATTCAAGTCATGTAAGAGGGAACGAATTTGTGAAAATTAAGTAGTGTATTCAAGTCATGTAAGAGGGAATGATTTTGTGCAATTAAGTAGTGTATTCAAGTCATGTAAGAGGGAATGAATTTGTGCAATTAAGTAGTGTATGCAAGTCATGTAAGAGGAAATGAAATTGCGCAATTAAGTAGTGTACCCAAGTAACGTACGAGAAAATGAAATCGTACAATTAGGTAGAGTGTGCAAATCATGTAAGAGGAAATGAAATCATTCAATTAAGTATGTATTCAAGTCATGTGATCAATCCTCACTAACCTGATGGTAACAATGATGAAGATGATGATGATGGCCTTAGCTGACCTCCGACCTCTAACCTGAGGACCCCATAGGCTGTTCCCAGTCTGTTGGTGGCCATGCACTGGTAGATGCCTGCATCTGCTGCATCAACAGATGCTAGAATCAGGTGACCTGATAACAAAGAGCAATCTCTGTGAGGGGTAACCTCAAGTGTATGTACTGCATTTGTGTGTGTTTGTTTGGCCACTGTTTAAATGGCAGCTGTGGTAGCACAGCTTTCCTACTAGTCGAAGGTCAAGGGTTCTAATCCCCATGAAGGCTGATTTTTTTCTTTCTCTAAAACTGACCCTGGCTCCATGTCCACCCAGTCTTAAATGAGTACCAACCAGCAGGTAATGTCCTAGAAAGCAAAGGTGTGATGCTGACCACATTACTCATCATTATATTAAAGTATAAATCTAACACTCTATGCCCCATGCGTCAAATTGTCTGAAAACGGTCTATCGCTCAATTACTGTTTACCTATTTAAAGCTCTACCAAATAATTTTTATCTTGTTTCCAGTTATCTTCCTTTATAGACAATACTGTAAGGACTACTGCAATACTGGGAAGTAAATCTGATTTCAAGTAACTCTTGGGAAAGAAAAAAAAAGACGGGGGGGGGGGGGGGGATAAAATAATTGCTTCCTTTCTAGATAGGCATAATAAATCAGACTACAGACAGACACAATAAATCAGACAACCCTCTCAGCTGCCAGAAAATCATACAATATCTTCCTGAAGTAAGAGGATTGCTATTGATCCATCCATCCATCTCTGCCTTAAATGACAGTCTCACTAAAGACCTGGTGCTTAGTTATAGATGCCCTTGAATGTCAACCTTCTCTAGCAGGTCCAGTATATCTTCTAACCTGACTACTATTGCCAAAGCCTGCAAATAAACATGTCGCCAGAGGTCTGACTTGTTGGGAAGAGATGCATCCTGGCCACCTATGAATGTTGGGCCTGTGTGTAAAATGTCTTGTTCTGCATGACGAATGTGTCTGCCAACTAAACAAACCAATGCTGTTAGGGTGCCTCTTGCCTTTCCCTTTAGCTCCTCTATATATGGTTAGAAAGAGGAGAA